AACTGCATTGTATAGTGTTTTGATACCTTTTATAATCATTTTTAGGAATTCCTTCTCAGGCATTTCCAAAGCCTGCCCATCTTCCAGTATGGAGTGTAAGTCTCCTTCCAGCTCATTTGCCTCAGTTAATTTATCTTGTTTCTGTACATGTGCGGATATGGTCATCTGCTTCTGTTTTTTGGGGCATCTTCAGGGTTTATCTGTGAACTTAATACTTAGATGGGTGTGTATTTTGGTATTTTTTATGCTTTCTGAATGTCTCCATGTAGATGTGATCATGAAATGGGCTTCCCTTTTCACTCTTCTTCCTGAGAAGTTTCAAGATAGCACTGTTGGTCGTTTTGACATAACTTAGGATTTAATTTTCAACCTATTTCCTTTTTTATCTGCTTGTCCAATTCCACAATCCCCATTCAGGTCTTTTTTCTAGTTGGAAACAGTTCAGGGCCGGCTGTGGCCGTTTGGTTTTATTTATTTATTTATTTTGGCTGTTTGGTTTTAATTGGAAACTGTCTCTTTAAATTTCAAGGCGATCTGTGTGCATGCGTAGTAGAACCCTCAGATGGCGGGGCTGGGGTGCCCACTAACTCAGGCACCCCTATAGTCACCAGAATGGAGGTACGCAGACGACAAGGCACCAATGAACAGCAACCAAAAGAAAAGAAGGTCTACACCTTTATCTCAGCGGTTGTGCCAGGCATCTGTGGCCACTCCGATCCTTCCCCTGCTTCGTCTCACCCAAGATGGCGGCTCCTGGAGCAGCCGAGCATCCCGGACTAGAAAGCAATAGATTTCTTGCTTCTGCCACAAATTTCCCAGCTGTGAGCCTTCTAACCTTCTAAATATTCCTTTATATAGGGTTCAGAGTTCTGGGACCATCCCTTGAGCCTGTTTGGTTGGGTATTCTGTTTTTTTGTTGGTGGAGCTCTTTACTATATGTCCACCTGTTTGTTCCAAAAAAGCCTCATTTTTGTGGTAACTACGTGAATTCCCACAAAGCTGGGCTTCCATAGCTCTGTGGGGCTGTCAAGGGTCAGGGTCTTAAAACAAGATCCAGCAGTTTTGTGGTCAGTGTGTGTAGGGTGTTTCCCTGACCTCACAGCCTTTGTCAAATACCCTGGTTTTATTTTTCTGTTACCAGAAATGTGGATCTGAGAGAATACTTATCTGAAGAAGTGCAAGCAGTCCACAAGAATACCACCTATGACCTCATTGCAAACATTGTACACGACGGCAAGCCCTCAGAGGGCTCCTACCGGATCCACGTGCTTCATCATGTGAGTCTCTTGCCCACCTCATGGAGAAGGTGGCAAAGCAGCTTGAATTCCTTTGGTACTTTTCTTGGCTTTGACTCTGGTACTCTGCAAATCACTAGAGCACTTCCTGGTTCTTAGTTGTACATTGTACATTGAACTCATCTGGGGAGCATTTAAAAATCTATGTACTTGGGCACATCCCAAACCAATTTCATTAAAACTGGGTTCCCACCAGGGTAGAGACCAGGAATACAGCTAAATATCTGACAGTGCACATGATAGCTCTTCACAACAGAGTTATTTGGCCCAGAATCATTGCTGGGGTTGAGAAATCCTACATCCAAGCATCTTGAGGTAGAAACAGGACATTGTAATACTTTAAAGCTCCCTAGGACATCCTGCTATGAAATGGAACGCATAAACATCGATATCTTAGGCATTAGTGAGTTAAAATGGACTGGTATTGG